GTCGCGGCTAGCGCCTGGCTAGGGCCCCGGTGCTGGGAAAGCCATGCGGCCCGGTCCCGCAAGGACGGGAAAACAGTGCGAGGCCTTGAAGTGAAAGATTGATATTTGCAGAAGGAAGGTTCGGTTGTTTGTTTTTTTTTGTTTGTTTGTTTTTAAGTGTAAGGGCTGATGCTTTGTGTTTTATATAAGCTGCGGGGCTTGTTGTGTGGTTTGGAGCCTTTTCTACCCGTTCTGGTACTGCCTGGCAGAGCTACAGGTCGCACGTGTGCCGTGACCGGCGCTGTGACCGCGCTTTGCTGCACGCGTGCCGCTCTGGGTGCCTTTCTCTGAGGTGTCTGCAGCTCTAAGCTATTGTCACAATAAGCAGAGTTACAATAGCATATCCCAGCATACAAGTACCTGTTAGAGGCTGCAACCGGGCAAGATACCTGTTTACACTAGAATATCTAAGCTAATTACAGTGCTGTATGACACAATGTGGAGACAGATGGACAGTCCGGGTTTTGCATGCTGTCAGTGGTTCAACTTCAGTGGTCTGCGTGCTGGGTTCATAGGAGCGCTTTCAGTTCCAGCTTAATGTTTGTCTTTTGCCTCTTATGTAACAAGGCACAGAATGAGAGTATAGTCTTGACAAATCACAATTTAAGCTTGTATTTAAAGCAACTAAAATGTCAGTTATCTAACAAATGCATTCCCTGTCAAGGTCTGACGGGAGTTTTGCAGTGTGACTTTGTGTAGCTGATGAATAAGACTTTTAGGTCGTGATAGCACAGGTATGTTTCTTTCCAGTAGTGGCTTATTTGCAGGTCAGTGTTTGTTCAAGCTGTGATAATATTTCAGGCTGAGGGTTTTTTTTTTCTGGGTTTTTTACAGTTGCCTGACAAAAATAAATAAAGTGCAAACTGGAAGAAATAAAGTAAATATTGCCACTGAGTTTATGTATAGCTTTACCTAATTTGTGCCTTGGTGACGTTTATCTAGTTTCATGAAGTTCGGTGTCTGCTTTTTACAGGCTAGATAGGAAGACTGATCTGTTAAGTGTTTTGATGCTGAAGTGCAGACATGTTTCATGTTATACTGAATATACTGGGGGGAACAAAAATGTTATGAATGCTTAATAGGCAACACTCTTCCTGAGCAAAGGGGCTTTGAACCAGCCCTGGTCTGTCTATTGTTGAACTGCATGCTCTTCATGAGGATTTAGAGAGACAATGTATGTGCATTGCTGTAGCATATGCTACGAGGGGTTGTGGAATTAAAAGACCCTTGAATTGTTGTGTCTAAAGCTTCAAAACTGTAGGAGGTCATGTGGTAGGTGTATAATTGCTAGAATACTTGCTGCCATAGTCTGTGAGTAATTGCCCAGTGAGTTATTTTAAACTTAATCTGTAGCAAAAGTTGTCAAGTCACATTTGTAATACCACAGGAAAAAGCAATAGGAGAGTAAAGTGCTGACAAAATATGCTAATATTTTAAAATAAAATGCACTTTTAAAGGTCATTTTGAAATTTATCTGTCTACTATCAACACTGAATCAATTTACTTTCATTTTCTATAGCAAACTTTCACTGCCCAAATTCTGAGATGCATAAAATTAAGTAAATGAATTGCTGATCTGTAAAATGACTGAAAAAAAAATACTAAAAAGCAGCACTTTAACTTGTACTCTGGCATGAGGTCTCCTAATTTTCTAGTGTCCCCTTAATAGCTAAAACTATCTATTAGTCTTTGGACTATTTCTGAACTCTGTCTTGTATTAAGCTACATTGTGTTATCTTTATAATATCAACTATTTATCAGGTCCTGCAGAGATAACCATGAAGTTTGGGTTACTCTTGCAAAGAGCTTTTGTTCTAAATGGACATTATAGTGGGATGATGAAGTGAATGTGGAACAATGTTGTTTTTTTTAAAATTACATCTTTCTTGTCAGATGCGGTTTTTAACAAGGTTGTGGTATATATGTAAGGCTTTTCCCTGGTAAGGAGTTTTCATTGAAAGACGAATGGCTGTTCTTGTTTCATCATGATGCAAACCCCTCTGTAGACCCTCTCTATGGCTGTTAGAAACTTGCTATGTCAATTATGAATAGGATGAAGAAAGCTTTCTCCTTAAAGAAATTGTAGCTATCAGTCTCAAATTGACTTCTAAGGAATTTCAGAAGCTCTACATTATGTGATCAGAAAGCAAAAAATAGTTTTATTTTATCTTGCAGGATGGAACCGACTTTGGATAATGACAAATTTTTCAGACCTTCCTATGTTACTAGTGTTGAGCTGCCTCAAAGAACAGGACCAGTAAATGTGGAAGATATCAAGGCAGATCTCTCTGCTGAATTTTCTTTGGTTTCTTCAAGCTCACACACAAGCCAGGTAAGAAAGCTTTGTTTGGATTTTTTTTTTAATAAGCTTAGTCCTTTCATAGATAAGAATAATCAGAATTTTACAGAGAAGATGAAAAGCATCTTTAGTATATTTTTAATGTGGAAGAAATACATATGGTTAGACTAATTTCTGTGGCACTGTTTTGATGCTTTATTGGGTGCATCAGAGTGATATAGTGGTGAAGGGACTAGAGGGAGATTTTGTGTGTAGATTGTACAATCTTGTTTGGTGTTGTGATAGTGTTGTCTTGATTTTGGTGTGGGGAATTCTTTTTCTTTTTCTTTGTTGATGTGATTAGTGTTTGTGAAGTTTTGTGTTGAATGTATATTTTAATGATAATTCTCTTCTGTGAAGGAAGGTAATTGCTGGTTCAGAGCAGCTAAATCATGAAATGTTTTTGTGGGTTTCATTCTTGATCTCTAGTTGGCCTGAATGTAGTGAATATACATGTGCTTCAAGATTACTAATGCTAAGTTATCACAACGAGCTTCTGCAGAGGCCTAAGCACTTGTAAATACTGATGTAGTGAATTACTTTTTCTTCCCATGTCATCAAATAAGTGTGTTCAAAATAGTCTGATGAAAATAAAACTGCCTTAACATGCTAGTTATCAAACAAATAATCTACTCAAATTTCTAACTTTATTATTTTTTTTTGATATAAGAGGAGCAGTTTGGAGTCTAAGGGACACATACAAGTCTGCCTGCGTATTAGGCCATTTACATCGTTGGAAAGAGAAAATGAATCACAGGTGTGACATTTAGTTTAAAAATACTTTGAATGTAGGTTGTTGTGGGTTTTGGGTGCTTTTTTTTCATGTAAGCTGAGCTTTTTATACTCTTTTCACACCTGCATTGCTTATGCTTCCTTTCAATAGGACTGTATTTCACTTGAAGACTCAACAAGCATCATACTGAAGCCACCCAAAAACTCTTTGAGTAGACTAAGTGAAAAAACTGCTGGACAAATGATACAGAAGTTCACTTTTTCACAAGTAAATGAGCTGTCTTTAAAAGTTTCTAATTTATTCCTGGAAAAAGTTGTTTAACTTGTATTATTTAATAACAAGCATACTAGATTTTTGAACTGTCAATAGTCTTTTAGATTATAAACATGTAGAATTTAAAAGGTTGTTTAAAAGTCTCTAATGAATGCTTAAACAAAATAAAGATATTTCTTAATAATGCTCAGGTGTTTGGACCTGAAACAACTCAAGAAGAATTCTTTGAAGGTACCATGAAGCAACCAGTGCAAGATTTCTTAGATGGATATAATCGTCTTATTTTTACATATGGTGTTACAAATGCTGGGAAAACCTACACATTCCAAGGTATAAGTAGAAATGTATTCTTTTTGAATGAACTTTTTTAAAGTGAGGATTACTTCTAGCAGAAATATTATAACTTTTTCCTTTATTTAAACTGTAGAGTCTATACATTGGCTTCTTTCGAATGTTAATAAATAGCCTTTGAAAGTCTTCTCCCATGACAAACATCACTAAACTTCCAACAGACAGTCACTGCCAGAGTTTACACACACATATAGTGGTATTGCTTTGTAAGGCTGTAACAGTTTCAACCAGGTGTGTGTGACTTTTTTTTTTTGCCTCTAAGTATCTGGAATGTCAGGGAGGAGGGGGAGTTAGGAAAATACATTTTCCATATATCAGGATGTGAAAAGTGTGTAAGTCACTCTACACCAGACCAGTATTTCGTTCTTCTTTTATTATTATTATAAAGGTCATATGCATCTTTTATGCACTGTCTTCAAATAAGGAATAGTATTTGAGTCTGTTTCAATTACTATAGGTAGTGAATAAATGTTTTGAAACCTGTTTGATTATTTCCAAATACTTGTCTTGTCTCAAGTTTCTGAGCTTGTGAATAATATCCTAAGAGACCTTGTCTCCAGATGCACTATTTCTGTACTGTTAAAGCTCAAAATCATTTCTGGTCAGAAGATGTTGTTCTTTAATTTATTTTTCAAAGCATTTTAACAAATGAGCTGATTCACGTGGAAACAATTTTTCCTGTAATGAAATGGCGGTTCTAGATGCTACACTACTTATTTTATACACATAAGTAGTAGAAGAACAATGAGTTTTGTGCCATATGAAATTGATCTTTATTGAATTGACATTGTCTTCTAAGTGATCTTCTGTTAGCTGGATTATAACTGAAGACTACTGCAAGTACTTTCAATTATCATTAATCTGGGGCAATAATGAGACGCTCTTTCCTGTCCTAATAAATAATAGGTAAATAACAGAAAACAGAATTCCTAAAGTGTACGGCCCTCTGTGCTTGGCTAGTTTGGGGTGTATTATGTAGTTTTTTCAAGAATTTTTTAATTCATTTCTTTTCTGACTGTGGAGAAGTATTTCGTGGTATTGTATTTTTAGGACACAACTATCAACTTGTGATAAGATTTGGCAGGGCAGAATGTTGCCTGCTGAGTGCCATGATTTCTTCTTCTGTTATTCTCAGTATTGTCAGTATAGCCTTTCCACTTTGGCATTACATGGGAGCCTTCATTCAGTCAATGGCAAAGGACTTAAGTGAAGGATGAAGCATTTTTTTAGGACTGTTCATTGTTCTCCATTTTTTGGTTTGTTATGCCCCTTACTGTCTAAGAGAGAGAGCATGAGCTGTTGCTGAAAGCAAAATACCTTTTAAAACACTCTAATGACATTTCTTTTACCTTGAGAATACAAAAAACTCCCACTGCTTCTTACTGTAAGGGATCTTCAAATTCCTCGTGTATGCCCTGAGATTAGAATTGCTTATCTTTCTGTCTTCATTTGTTCACAGTAATAATTGGAATCTTTCTACTGTATGCTGCTTTCAGGGACAGAAGATGATGTTGGTATTCTGCCAAGGACTATGGATATGTTGTTTAAAAGTATTGAAGGAAAGCTATACACAGCAATGGATCTCAAACCCCATCGGTGCAGAGATTATATAAAGCTGACTAAAGACCAAGTGAGAGAAGAAACTGCTATTAAAAATTCAATACTTCGCCTAACAAAAGAGGTAGAGGAGCACTTCTTTCTATACTGATGAGTATGCACATCTTTAGATAGCTCAATGTTACCCTGTTCATTTTTCAGTGGGAAGAGACTATACGTATTCAAGCATGGATGTGTCTTTACTGCCAGCCAGCTATTCAGATTACTAGTAAATTGAGTAATAGAGCAGATGAACCCTGTTCTCCTGTGATTTGTCTTGTGGCTGAATACTTGATAAGATGTAAACGCTAAGTTTATTTTTTTTTTTCCTGTATCGCTTGGGAACTTGATAATTTATCCTCCGGGGTTACTGCTGCTTGATAAGTACTGAACACAAATAGTCTCATCTGTGGGGATGCTAGTAGGTCTGTTCCTTTAAACAATTTACTGTCTTTCAGGGTACTTGAAAAAAATTACTGATTTTGAGGTTGTTCCACTCTTCCAGTTTGGCAAATACAGCTTTACAGAGCTGTAAAGCCAGTGGATTTCTAAAGATTTGAATTAAAATGGATGTTCTGGCTGTTGTGGGATGGAATATATCTGTTACCTTGACTCTTATCCATGAATTAGTTAACTGGACTTTTCTAGTGTGGAAGGCAGGTGGCAGCAAAATTCTTCAAGACTTCACTTCAAAAGCAGAGGCATATGTTAAATCTATCTCTAGCAGTCTTTAAGGACTTCAGAAGAACCTGTCACTTACGTGTGTTTGGATACACAAATATGTCTCCTAGTTTCTAAAACTGTAGTTAAAAGAACAACACTTCAGCTTATAAACTTGGTGGCAAAGCTTGCATCTACTTAAACAGAAACAGGTTTGAGTGGATGTGTATGTGTAAAGCTTAAACCTAAAAGTTTTGATTATATAAATATTTAACTGTTTCAGGAATCACTTTATGGAATCCCAGCTCTATATGAAATAGTCTTGACAAAACACTTAAACCCAAGCCACGCTTTTTTTTTTTTAATCCATGTTTCTTCCCTTAAGGATCCAGGTTTTGGTAGATGACTTCTTCTTTGCAGTTCTGTGCCTAAAAAAAAAAAAAAAAAAAAAAAAAAAAAAAAAACCAAAAAA